GGATATTGCTGTTGATTGCCGAGGGGGAAGTGGTGCTGATGGTCTCAGGGGGGGGTGTTGGTTTCTGGGGGGAAATGGTGTTGATGGTCTCCGTGTCCTCAGGGGGGGTGTTGGTGTTGATATCCGGGGGGGTCATGGTGTTGATGGTCTCAGTGTTCTCAGGGGGGGTGTTGGTTTCAGAGGGGAAAGTGGCATTTTCAATGTGTAATGATTTAACAAATGCTTGTTGCTCATGCAAAAACAAGTTTATCTTTCTGATGCAATTGTAAACTGCTCTGATAATAGCATCGACTTCTTCTTGGATTAAGTTAACTTGCTCTTGTGTTTCAATCGAGCCAAGTTTTGCCATGTTATCACATATTATGTTCAAAATTGACTGTAGATCACTCTTATCTAGTTGTAAAGCTGCTATATTCACATTTTCCAGTTTAAAACTCTCATCAACGACTGTGATTAGTTCATGAATTCTACAAATGTCATTCTTTAGGGCAACTTTGACAGGCCCAGCACTTTGTTGTCTAGCTTTTTGTTCGATTGTTGTCTTTACACTAAAAAATACACTCCTAGCTTCTTCATAGCACCTTTTTACATTGTCTCTGTAAGTCATAATGTCTTCACCATTAACTACACGGTGTTCAGCATATTTTTCGTCAGATACAATGAGTTCGTATTCCTCATTTATAACGCAAAAATCATCAAATACCTTTTCAAGTTCGAACATTGAATCCTTTAAAATATCATATTCACAATCTCTGTTGTAGGCTCCGATCAGACGCCTCGCAGCGACAGTGATTGCCATTTTAGCCTTGCTTCTTTCTTGTTTTTTATCTTCAACATTCATGGCTGATTCCTGGATTTGTCTTCAAGCAATACACAAGTTTTGGGCTGCAAAACTCCTTTGTATTCAGGCTTCTTCAGAATTCTGGAATGCCACAGCGAACGTTAGTGTTTTACTGTACTGGGATTGCCAGTAAATGAGGCGAAAAACAGGTTTCAACTCACTTTAATTATCAAAATATGGAAAATTACAAAATAATAGATTTAGGTAAAACACTGTTTTCCTTCGCACGCCATATTAGCTCCTATGCGCATGCTCTAACAAAACGTAAATAAACATCGTTCAAAAGGCGATCGCAGAGATTATTGTCTACAACTTTACTACAACCCAATACACAGTCGTAGATTTGTCGGATAAATTGTACGTTCGAACTGAAACATGACAATAAAATAAACTACTTAACTATGTTACTTAAATGCATGCAGAAAACTAACACATCAATGTCATTGACTAACAAAACTAACAAGCACATACAATACTGTAAAACTTATGTACTTTGGTTTACACTTGTACCAAATGAGTAGCAATGAATTCGGTAGCAGTTCTTCATACAAATACGTAGAAATATCCCCTTTTTAAAAATATAGCCTTTAGCAATTACACGTCCTTTCTCTGACACAGTCACAACTTTACTAACTCACACTATCTAGTCTATTAGGAACATATGGTATAGCTGTTTCCATCCTGATATCAATCAAATTAACTATATTATTAACTAAAACATAATGAAGTATTTATGAAGGACAATGAACTAATTTTCAGTAAGCGTTTCAAACCAACATACCGCCCACCTTACAGGTACCTACGGGATAACCTTTACAAAAAATACTTACAAATTAAAGTGTTTCTACTTATCGTTATGAGCTTCTTGTTGGTATATACTTCGAGAACATGACCAAGTGGCCATGAACTGTGAGGTGTTTTCTCATCAAGCACCAAAGCAATATTGTTTACTTCCATGTTTCTCTGCAACTCATTCCATTTCTGTCTCTGTTGTAAAGTTGTAAAGAAGGCAAATACTCATGAAGCCAATGTCGCCAGAACAGGTCAGCGAGATATTGCACCTGCTGCCAACGACGCATGCTACAGTTGTCGGTTCTCAAAAACCTTCCAGGTGGAATAGAGGGTCCAGGGTGTAGCAGTAGTAGCTGGTTGGGGTTAAAGCTTCAAGATTCTTCTGGTAATCTAATACTTTTGTTATCGGTCGTCTGTTTACGATTATTCAATTTCGCACATCAGTCAGAGTACTCAGCCCTTAGTCATCCATTGTTTGCTCCTTAATTAACACATTAAACACCTTTCTCACCATCCTAATACATCTCTCCCATACACCGCCGTGGTGGGAACCTGCTGGTGGGTTGAATATCCACTTGATATTTCTCTGCAACAGTGATTCGTGAATTTTCTGTTGATTCCATCCCTCGATTGCTTCACATAATTCTTTCTCGCCCTTAACAAAGTTCCCTCGGTTATCGGAGTGTATTTCCATTGGAGTTCCTCTTCTGGACACAAATCTTTGCAGAGCATTCACAAATGACTCGGTATCTAACGAATGAGCGACCTTGACATGAATCACTCGAATTGAAAGGCATGTAAAATCACGCCATACCGCTTTACGTTACTTCTTACACGCCACGAATGGTCCGAAGCAGTCGACTCCCATGTACATGAATGGTCTTTCGCATGGTACGACTCTGTTTTCCGGTAGATCGGACATTTTCTGCTGCATGGGTGGTGCTTGGCTTCATCTGCAGCTGAAACACTCGTTTGCAACCTTTCACACATTAGATCTTCCACCAGTGATCCAATACTTCTGCCGAATTAACGACAAAGTATATTCGAGCGCAGAATGACCAGATATTTGGTGGTAATGGCTAATGATGAGGTTGCTCACATGCATTTTCTTTGGCAAAATGATTGGATGTTTTGCATCATGGTTGAGTGGAGCTCGTTTCAATCGTCCTCCCACTTGGAGTAGGCCATTGTATAGAATCGGGTCAAGCTTGTAGAGGGAGCTGCTCTTTGTTATAGCATTCTTACTTGATTGACGTTCAAGCTGTCGCAAATCTTCCAATTCTTTCTTGAAACATTTCTATTGGACATGCTTGAGTATTTCGCGTTCTGCATTCAACATTTCACTTGTACTGATTGGTTCAACTCTATTCGTGGGTTCTAGATCTTCTGATTCTTTATCAGACTGAGGTTTCTCGAGCAATCTCCGTAGATTGGTTTTATAGCGAAGGATCCATGCGATCGTCTTCTTTAGTCGAATCTTCTCGAGAATCTACATTGCTAATAGAGTCTTCCGGTCTTACATCTATGTTGAAATAATGTTCAATTTAGAATATAATAGACAATGTGTGTGCTTCACTTTAAAGTTTAAATGCTTTTTGCACTTTTTCTCATTAGAGTATAGGTGAAAATTGACATTATGTCGTCACACAATTAGAGTTATATAATCGAGATAATGAACACAAACAAAAATTGCACACCACAGGATAATTATACACGACATTCAACAGATGGAGTTGATTGACACAAGTAAGCATTGAATGATTGCCAAGTCAAGTTTCAGTTCTTCGCCATAATATCTCACGCACGTTTAGGTGATCGTAAAGCAAATTCAAACTAATGTAACTCCTGGTTGCCAAATACAATGGTTGAAATGGGTACAAATGAATATTCAAACTCAACAAATAGCAAATCGAAGCACAATGTTTAACAAATTTAATATTCAATAAAATGGCCTTTTGTACAAGTCATGCAACGTATTGTCGCCAAGTAGAATTTCTATACGGGTAGCAAATTGTAGAAAACAAACTAAAGTTCATGAAAGCAAAAAAACAATTACGCAGGAATGTCTCTATCAAGGAAGATCTTACCCGGGAAAACTATGAGCTTCTGAAATATGTTAAAACAAATTCACTCAAAGACGTCGCTGTTTATACCATCGACGGTGTGATTATGGCGCGTGCACCAGGTCACGACAAGCCTTGCCGAATTTACAAGAAAGAAGACCTGGCTACGTTTAAACTACATAAAACTACCCCAGCAGCGGATGACTAAACAAAACGATGAGTTTGAATATTATTTTCTTTGTTCTGTGTGTTAATCGTATTTTGTTGTGTGTTTATTCTATGTTATATACTTTTAAATCTTTATATTGGGCCGATTGGCGGCAGCTTTGTGTTAACCAAATAATTCATGTGCAGCGGATAGCGAATAACCCTATTAAAACATATAATGGGGGTTAATTTAGTTATTTATCGAGCAGCTATCGGCACGTTTAACAACTCTTTCATCGAGGCTTGTCTTTTTATCGTCCATTCAAGATTACTGCCGTGTTGCATCTTTTGCTATTATAATCTAGTACTAAGTTTATCTATTTTATTGCTTTTATCTGGTTCTGTCCATCCTAATCCAGGACCTCGCCAATCATGTTTGTCTATAGCTCATCTAAATGCAAGAAGTCTAAACATATGTGATAAGATAAGCGAAATTTCTGTGCTTGCTTTCCAGCACAAATTCGACTTGTTTGCTTTTTCAGAGACATGGCTAAATCCAAATGTCCCTAATGACTCAATTTTGATTTCTGGTTACAATGCTCCCCTGAGGAAAGACCGTTTGACTTCTCGTGGGGGAGGCGTTGCACTGTACGTTGGTGAACATTTACAAGCAATCAGGCGTCTGGACTTCGAGTCTAATGCTAATGAATTATTGTGGGCTGAAATCAAAGTCGGTTGTCTTAAACTACTTTGCGGTGTCTGTTATAGACCACCCAACCAATGTGCAGAAGCTATTGATGAATTTTTTACGTGTTTTCAAGATAGTCTTGATTTAATTTTTTCTACAGCTGAATTTTCAGCTGTGTTTATTCTAGGCGATTTTAATGCTCACTTCAATTTTAATGAGACGTTGACACCTAACACGGACACAGGTTTAAACATGTACAATTTTATCGAATGTAACAGTCTTTCTCAATTAATCAATGAGCCAACCCGAATAACATCTCAAGGCGAAACTATCCTGGACCTTATTATCACCGATTCTCCTGGCTATTTTATTTCTTCTGGTACATTAAGTCCACCAGCTAACTGTGATCACAATGTTATTTTGCAACTTTCAATATTGCTGTCCATAAATCAAATGCCTTTAAGCGTACTGTTCGTAATTTCAATAATGTTAATATTAATGGCCTAAATGCTGCACTTCAAAATGCCAACTGGGACTCCATCTACTCGTCTAATGAGTCAATCGACTGTGTTTATAATAAATGGTTTAATTTATTCAGCCCAATTGTTGATATGTATATTCCAATAAAACAAGTAACAATTCGCCCAAAGGATAAGCCTTGGATGAATGGATGTATTCGCAGAGGTATTCGCAAACGCGACCGTCTTTTGTCAAAATATTTAAGATGTAAAACTCCACAAGCCTGGGAGAATTATAGAATTCAACGTAACATGGTTGTCGGCTTTATCAGAAAGGCAAAAAAGGATTATTACGTTAAATTAAACATAGACTTAAGCAATCCCAGGACATGTTCTAAAAAATGGTGGGGCATTTCCAAATCACTTTTTCGCAACAAATATTATTCCCCTATGCCAGACTTGCTAGTTAATGGCGATATAATCTCTGATACTAAACAAAAAGCAGATTCTTTACATGAGTATTTCACGGCCCAAACTCAAATTCCGAATGACACGAACAGTCCCATGCCTTTGCTTTCGTTATCAACTCACTCACTTTCTGTGGTAGAAACTGACGAACTCGAAGTTCTAAATTTGTTAAGTAATGTTGATATTTCTAAAGCTTGCGGTTTCGATAATATCAGCAATCGAATTATCAAACTTTGCGCTATTGGTATTCACAAACCTTTCACTCGCTTATTAAATACCTTGTTTCGCCTTGGCCAATATCCAAACGCTTGGAAATTTGCCAATGTGATTCCACTATTTAAAAAAGAAAACAGACAAGTAAGGAGTAATTATCGCCCTATATCA